TTGCTTGAAATCGTGTGGGGCTTTGACGCGAACACCATATCAGATTTTGATGCTTGACTTGGCAGAACTGTAGCTGATATCAGTCAGGCTTGTGCGGCTGCTTGCGAAAGCCTAAGATTCTGCGCAGCGACGGGAGGGCACGAGAGTTGTGCGTTTGGCTTTCGAATGCGCATGACTGCTCGTCTCCGAGCCGAAGAATTTGTTAGTGCGAATCGGGGATACATCTCAAATGGTAGAGGAGTTCATCGGCCGTGATGGAGGTACAGGGCATGTTGCTGTCTTATATGAAATGGAGTCTTGGTCATGATAGTTGGAGAAGTGCCTCAACCTTCCATCGGCTTTCAGGGTGAAGCATTTGCATAGCAGCAACCGAGAGGCTGCTCTCTGCTGTCTTTAATTAAGCGCTGGTACGTCTTAGGCGGCCCCAAAGTCTAGGGTGCCTGGGGAGGCAAGATCCATTTCAAGTCATAGAGAATGCGTGGCAAAGTAAATGGAGGCTCTGTTAATGTTAAGAAGCCTGAATGATTCCCAATCTGTTTCCCTTTCTGAACCCTCTTTTAGCCATCACTTCCACAGACCCTGCCACTGATTCAAGGCAAAAACCTGAACCAGAGCCCTTGCACCAAGCAAAATCTGATTTCGGCCTTCGGGAACACTTAACCTCAGGGTCTACTTTGCCTTGATCTTCTGTGTCATGTTATTGGGCTTCAAGATATTAGACTTTGGCTCAGAATTCTGTGGAGGGAAGTGTCATGCTCCAGTCATCTGCAAGTCGTACAGTTGAGTAGAGTATGTATGCCCCATAAGCGCGCGACAGCCTCAAGGATGAGCCAGAAGCAACGGGAAAGACATTCGAGGCACACTAGCTTGCCCTGACTTGCAGGCTTTGTACTTGACTTCATTGTGCCTGTGGAATTTGCTTCCTCCTGGATCATTGCCTCGAAGGTGTTGACAGTGCCAGGCTACTCTAAGCCGCGTGAAGGCTATGGGCAGGCCGGCATGCAGTCTCTGCTGCAAACGGTGCGACGAGGTCCCCATGTACATGTGTGCTAATAATTCAGCAGGTGCTGGAGCGCTTAGAGTCAGATGCAGTGTGGACCTTAGCTCCAGCACCCAAAGCCACTGAAGGATCTTGCAAGCGGAGTGCTGTTGTTCAATTTCGGTTGGGAATTCTGTCATCTGGCACAACACACGATACTCAACAGCAAGCATGCTCCGGCCATGTCGCCGACCTGTTTGACACCTTTGATAAGGCAAGGTTGAATGGTTTTGAGTCGATAGCTGCACCAGTGCGGCAAAGTGGCGGGTGGGCAGTTTTTCATGGCTGCAAAAGCTTTCGGAAATCGCGGACTCAGCTTGTGCAGAGCTTCACGACTTTCTGGCGGCAGCTGACATCAATCTCGAGGGTAAAGTTACCAAGCAGGCCTGAGACAAACAAAGGGCATGCGCGTGGGTACATGCAGTCTTGTGTCTAGCTGAGGCTGACGGCTAAGCGGCGTAAACTTCGAACTGGGCTGCTGTTTAGACTGGCATCAAGACCAAGTACTAGCAATCCTGGATGCTGCTGAAGGCGTAAATTAGGAGGCAGAACCTCATCTGAATGGCCGTGTTCTTCGTCAAGGCAGTTTTTTTTTTCATGGCTTTTGAGTGGGACCCCCGCTGGTGCTGCACACCTCATCTTAATGGCAGTGCGCTTTTTCAAGGCCTGTTTCTTCGAGTGTTTTTGAGTGGGACGTACCCGCTGGTGCTGATTTTACTTCACCACTGCTTGTGAACGCCAAAGTTGCTTGCAGGATGAGACTTAAGGTGTCCTTCTCTTGTCAGGCGTTCTCTGCAGCCTGAACGGCCGAACGTGTGTTTGTGTGCCTGAAAAGCGCTGTCATCTGTGCTAAAGCTGTCGGCAGAGTCTGCCTCTCTTATCAGAAGTGCTTCCAGCTCCAGGCTCCTGGCCTTTATGGCCGGGTTCGCTCTGCCTTTCGTCGGTTCATGGGTGGAACCAAGAATGCGCAGGCTGGATCGCTTGAAATGCCAAAAGCGATTAGGAAGGCAGCTCTGAGTGAGGCTGCCACGTACGGAGTGCTTCAGCAGCTCCTACCTGGAGAGGAGCAGGTCCTTATTGGGTGGTTTTGAGAATAGGCAGTCATGTTGACGATACACTGCTATGAGCACCTATGCCCAGTCCATCATAGCTGCGTGAACCATGTAAAGCACACCAGCCTCAGCTTTTTCGCAGCCTGTGGGAGGACAGTGCTGGTCTGGCTATGGGTCAGACGTACGAGCAATTCGACAAAAAGGAGCACTTTGGGGGGGAGAGTGCAGTAGATTTGTCTTCTAGAGACGAACAAACCACCGCGTTCTTACAGTCTTTGTGCAAGGCTGCAAGGCCCGTATTGTCCACATGTCCTAGACTGTGACGCGCTGAAGTTGTGCAAGGAGGAAGGACGGCTGGGAGCTCGTGGCGAGGAGCGCGTGCCTGAGTTTGCCACGGAGTCCTGAGAGCAGCTTGCACCGTTTCCCTTTGCCGGCATCTCCCGTGTTGGACACGGGCGCTAATGGCTGCGGGGCCGAGTCTCCTGGATACTTCTCGAGCGCATCGTATGCGCTCCTCAAGCTTTCAAGTTTTCGTCGCAGGACATCTGGTTCCTAGGTATCCGGCGACCAGTTTATGGTGCTGGAAGAAATCGGCAGGCCATGTAGAGTGTATAGCAGTGTCATGCAGTTCCGCAGAGGGGAGGATGAACACTTCAGACGGAAGGCTGTCCATGACAGAGAAGCTTCTTTGCTTTCTGCTTTGTGCTGCAGAGAAAGACTGATGTGCCTTGCCGCAGCATTTGAAGCGCCTTCACAGGCTGTGTGGGACGGTGGGTCATAGGGCGGTTGACAGACTGCAGGCAGTGCACACATAGTGCGATCTTAGCCTTTCCACATATCTGCAGTCTTCATACCCACTCTTTGTTGGACAGCCTAGTGGCCTCGTGTTGCACCAAATCACCAAATAAAGGGCACATGTCGCGGCATCTACTCGGCATGCCGTACTTCATTAGCGTTCCTTCACTTGAGGTTCTGTTTCACGCGCAATGGCACGAGTGTGACTGCGGAGTTGCAGGCCAAGTCTCGATGTAGGTCATGCTGAGCCCGGAAAGCATATTAACTTGCATTTGCACTCCGCGCCAGTATCTTTATGTGGAGGTTTCGCTCAAATCCGAGCTATCCTGCAATTTCAGAGTTTGAGGGCACCTGGAGCCCTGCCAGGCTCATTGCGATGCGCCCTGGGCCATTGGAGCAAGGGGCCTCAAGTTCTCGCTTTGTAGCGCTGGAGACAGACACGGGTACAGACCACCTCTGTCAGTCGTCATTGCAACTGATCCAGGGCATGTGAACCAAGCTGGCAGCCTAGAGGCCAGCCTTACTTCCAATTTAAGACATCATTGCTTTTCAAGCATATCGTTTCCCCCTCAGATACCATGATTTCCTACGTCGTTTTCCAGTATCTGGCGAATAGGCAATAAATTGTACCAGTTCACCCTAATGACCAGGTTTTTTTTCCAAGCTCACTTGACTTTGCAGGGGGCTGAGATGTGCTTTTATCTAGCACTGCTCGTTTTCTTCTTGGCTCGGTTGGCTCCAAGACGTGTCCTGGGAATCCTAGCCTCAGGGGGCCCTTAGGGCACCTGAGACGCAAGGGGACCCGGGAATAATAGTTGGGGAGAACTTGGGACATGAGTGAAGCCACCGCGCCTAGCGGCTTCCGATGGCTTTGGTTGCATCCGGTGGCTTGGCAAAAGAATATTTTGGCGGCGGCCTCCGGCTTAGACTAACCCTCAGCAGCGACAAGCACCGAGGTACATACAGGGGAGAGCACGAGTAGTTCCTCTTCAGCCCCTGCACCTTGGACGCTTCCCAAGTCGGAGGAGGCATGCATGCGGATTTCTTGTATGCATGAGCTCTGTGGTCTTGCAGCCTGCGCCGCTTCTGTAGACAACAAGCTGATGCAACACCCGTTGCGTATTTGGCTGCAGGCGGCATTCAAGCTGAGAGGTCGGCATGCCGCAAAGTTGCACAATGATTAGCAAGAAGAAGAACAAGAGATCTGGTGCATCTTCTGGGTAGAAGGATAGGTGGCAACAATGATATACCCGGCCTGTTCCAGATTCACGCCTAAGCCACAGAGGCAGCAAGGTGCGGCGTCTTGTGTAGAGTGCTAAGCATCACGCTTCATGGCAAGAAGAGTCAGATGCCCAACCTCACCAGCAATCCAATGCTTCAGTTCAGGAATGCTTGGGCAACTTGCTACAGCGAGCTGCTGCTGGTAGTGACATTTCCACTGAGACTTGGCAACTTGAGAGAGAGTGCATGCCTTCTAAATGAACCCAAAGCTGCGTTTTCATAAGCATGATCCCAAAGGCACGCCAGTCCGCTGCTGAAGCAGAGGCGGGGTCATTCGCAATTTGTGCACAGTGCGGAGCAACTCATCCTGTAATATCCTCTCCGCAGGAGCGGCTAAAGTGCGGACAAACAGACCGCTCTCCTTATGACCAGACTCCCCGCACAAAGTAAGGCAGATACAGGTTGGCTAGAATCCCGACCTTCTGGCAATCACGGGAAAATGGAGTTGTATCAGGCTAGGAGGAAACTCCATGCTGTTTTCCATTTTGCTCAGAAGGGTCCCTGAAGCGTCCCTGTATCCCTCTTACTTTTTTCTCCAAGACTGAATCCAAGCTCCGTCTGAGGCCAGGAAGCTGGGGTCCAGCCTTCCACAAATACGGGTTTCCCGCATGAACGGTACGCTGGTACGCTCCTATTCTTGAGTGTGGGCACCCAGTGTGCATATCCTGGGGTGGAATTGGGGAGCGGATTAGAGACTTTCGCCGACCATCTCTTGCTTCGCTGTAGCAGGGTGGCAATATGCAATACGCACGCAAAGCAATGCTAAACTTGATGTCAGAGCACATCGCAAGAAAAGCAGGTGACAGTAGGAGAATAAGTCCAGCTACAGCGCCATGCCGGAAGTGTGGCCTATTCTCGGAACGATGACCTTCGGAGCTGAAGGTCAGGTAAAGCCAGATGCGGTGACGACTATGCTAAGAAGCTTTGTGGGCACGAGCTGCACGAAATCCCCGGCAGGTGCAATGATTGACACTGCTCGAATGTATCAGCAAAGCACGCCGGATGGTGACACGGAGAGCACTCTGGGGCAAAGTTTCGAGGCTTGCCCCTCCCTTTTATCCAAATGTACCATTGCCACAAAGGCAGCCAAAGCAGTGGCACCTCATTTCTCATTGTCAAAAGCTTCAGTGGTAGAGCAGTGCAATGTCTGCCTTCAGAAGCTTGGCGTGGATTGCGTGGATTTGTTCTACCTGCATGCACCAGATATTGACACAGACATCAATGACACACTTGACGGCATTGCTCAGCTTCATGCTGAAGGCAAGATGAAGGAGTTTGGTTTATCAAATTACCCTGCATGGGCTGTGGTAGACATATGGTACAGATGCAAGGCACGTGGCATGGTCCTGCCGACGGTGTACCAAGGCATGTACAATGTGATCGCGCGAGACATGGAGCGTGAGATTGTACCAGTGGCCCGCCAGTTCGGCATCAGGCTTTACATGTACAATCCGTTGGCTGGAGGTTTGCTCACTGGACGGTATCGGACCCTCCAGGATATTTCCTCTGCCGACTCCGGTCGATTCTCTTCTGACTTTGACAATGCCTTTGGGGGTGCCTTCAAGGCTGGGACGGATGTGTACCGAAAGCGGTATGGCAACAAGGCTCTATTTGAGGGTGTGAACATCCTCTTGGAATCCTGCGGGCTGACAGGAAGTGAGCCGGCAGCCGAGCCGAAGGTGATCGAAGACAAGTCCAGCATGGTTGATGGAAGGCACGTTCGCGTGGTGGTCTCAGAGACTGCGAGCACAGAGAAGAGTGGCTCAATGAACATGGCCAACGTGGCTCTCAGATGGCTGATTCATCATTCCCTGCTGAGAGATGGGGATGGTATCATCCTTGGTGTCTCAAAGGGCACACAGCTTGTAGCGAACTTGGCTGCTTGGCAGGGCGGGCCCCTTCCTGCCGAGCAGGTCGAGGCCTGTGAGCGTGCCTGGCAAGCTGCCCGCCCAGGCTGTGAGTCCTACTTTCGTGGCTACGGGGCAGCGCCTGGTGGGATCGAGAAGTTCCTAACAACCATCCAAGCGTCGACGAAGCCTCCTGAGAAGAAGCAGAAAGGAAATCCTGCACCGCAAAGCTGAGGGCAACACAAATGTTGCGGCTGGTGCGGAAAGATACTCCTGCCAAGGACTCTAGCCTTTCACAGATTTTGAAGACATTTGAAGCACAAGAAGTGCTTGCGAAGGTTGGAAGCGTTGAGACGACTATATCTGAACGTATAATCAGCTCATCTGTGTAGTAAAGCTATAATATCAGTCAAGACCTTTCGGAGTCATGCACCTGGGTCTTGTGCTGAGTGCAGGTGGAATTCCCAGGCGCTTCGGACCAAAGCCCAGTGCCTTGGCTCATCAGTTAGGAAGGTACAGACATCATCTTTCGCACAGCAAATATCACAGCATGTCGCTGCCATTCGCTCGAGGTGCTCTTCTTCTCGGAGGGCCGACTCCAGGGTGCCAATGCTGCTGGGGAGCGGCATGGGATCTGGTGCTTGAAGTGTCCGTATCCCTGCAAGGGTGATGTGATGTGCCTTTTCAGAGGAGACGACGATGTCGGTGCCACTCCTTATGGCTGATTTGGTGCACTTGGCGGCCACCAAGTCACCCGAGTCGGCCTTGTGGCTGCACTAGCGGAGTGAAGCCCTTAGAGCGCAAAACGAAGAACAACCGGTGTCTCCCTGCACTGTGACATCGGTTGTCAACATTTCTTTTTCTGTCATAGGTTTTCCAAAGTAAGCCTGCAGGAAATGATGCTTGGGAGGCACCAGACTGGCTAGAGGTACGTAATGTCAGCTTCATTTTCCTTAAGGATCGCACGTGGTATCTGCTTGTCCTTGCGCCACGGCCGTGTCCGGCCAAGCCTGCAGAGGATGCAGAGCCCTCGACGCTTGGCCCTTGAATCTGCTGAAATGCTTCCGCTTGAGCTGTGAATTTTAGCCTGCTCCTTTTAAAGCTGTGAGGTATTCTTGGTCTCGTAGCATTACGCCCCAGCGCCAAAGACTGTCAGAGTGCTAACCAGGACGGAAGCCGGTGATTTGATGCCGCTGAACGACGTCTGGCTGCTCTACACCGCCCCGGTGGAGCATGGATGCTTGGCTTTCACCCAGCACTTTGATGCTTCTGCGTTCCGCCCGCGTTCGACCCTGTTGCAACTGAAGCGATGGGTGTGCTGAGGTGACTTCCTGCGACTTCTCTTTGAGTTCGGTAGCCGTGGCGCGCTGCGCAGGGATCTCAGAACATGTGCATACGTGCATGAAGGAGCTTAGAGGCTGGCAGTAGGCTGGCCGTGGCTGTGCTGACATGTGCTGACGCGGCTGCAGCCAAGGCTGGGATCTGCACGACTGCTACACCGTGACAGAGAAGTCGCTGGGTGTTGGTGGCTGCGGAACTGTGTATCTAGGTGCGAGCGTGCGAGCAGTCAGTCTATGCCATGAGCACTGCAGATCCATTTAAGCAGGAAGCTTTAGCCTGAAGATGCTGGAAGTGTTAGCCTTCGTCCATTGGAACCCTGGATGCCACCTCTCGCCAGGACAGTCCCGGATGCGCCTCCCCGCTCCGAAGGATACAGCCAAGGTCGACATCCCCGCTGTTCCGCAGGTGGCGGTTGGTGCTATTTTTGAGGGAAGGCTGTGTGATCAGAGCTAGCAGGCTGAGTCAGTGAACCGAGTGGCGAGCTTCAATTTGAGTATAATTGCGCCCCTGGTGGTGGTGGCACTGCCTAACGCCCACCTTGAGCCTGCCAAACCCTTTCAGGTTGCTGTCAAGAAGCTGAACAAGTCAGGCGGTGTTACTGCAGCTGGGTTGCTGTTTATAAAAGACTGGATGCTGGACATGCGATGCATTTTGCAGTGCTTGCAGCCCCCCGTCTGAGGAAGAGATCAACATCAGGAGCGAGATCGAGCTGCTCTGTTGCAGCATGACGCCATCACGCTGATGTTCTACAACTGCGGTACGCGCTTTTTTGTGAACTGGAAACCTGCAATGATGTAGCGGCAAAGTCCCCGCTTACAAGAGCATGCAAGCCATCCTTCATTGTTGAAGGTTTCTTGCAGTAGCTCGGGGTCACCCCTGTATCTCGGCATTGTTTGGCGTCTTCTGCTTCCACGAAGTGGGTTCTGCAGACGCTCGGCTTCAACTTATGTCGTTGCCAGTTGTTGGGGAGGGTTAAGCGAAGGCGCTGAACCGGAAACTGGCGGGTCACAGTGGATACCGTAAGTGTTGCGCGAACACATCAGAGTACCGGAGAATCTTGTCCAACTAAAGCTGAAACAAAGGAAGGCAGAAGGGGCCCGTCGATTCGATGGACTATCGTCATGCCTCTGTACCATGGCTGAAAGATTCTTGACAGGCTTGCCAAGGACCAAGATTGTGCGACTCAAGTTTCACACTGCTGGAGCAGGGCATTCTTCTGATCAATCCCTATCGTCAGCTGCACATGAGCTTTGTGGCAGTGAGATGATGCCATCACGTGCTTTGATGTTTTCATGGAGCTTGATTGTATGTTGTTTCCTTGATGAGGTACTCAGAGGGAGACTTGTTTGACTACCTCGCTGCCAACGGTGCCATGAAAGAGACAGCAGCAGCAACTCTCATGCTACACAACTGCAAGGATCTGCAAGGGGTGCGGCTGGACAGCAGGTTGGGCAAGATTTCAGGTGAGTATCACAGAGTCCCACAAGTCAGGAAAGGTCAAGGAAGCGTTTCTGCGGGTGCTCGAATTGAGCAACACCACAAACTTGGCTTCAGAGAGCTTCCAAGAAAGGTTGTGCCTGCTGTCAGCGCTCACCCATCTTCACCGCTTGGGCGTGGTCCACAGGGATGTGAAAGCGGAGAACATCTTGCTGGCCTGGCTTTGCGTCTTGAAAGTTGTTCGTGGCAGGTACGATTGTTTTGGTGCAGGGTAGAGAACAGGAGGCTCCCCAAGTCCCAGCTCGTGCAGGAAGTCCATAACACGCGAACTCGTGTTTCCCAACCCACGTTGATTGGCCTGAGCCAGTTTGTGGTTTTGTTCTGGCACCTTCTGGCTAATGTCATGGTGTTTCAAACATGTCTGCAGCACCCTGCACGGTTCGCCTGGAGTGTTGGAGGCCAACAACAAGGCGGTGCTCTCGGATGTTGGCATCGCTGCGTTTTTGAAAGACGAAGAGGCTGCCTGCATGGATGGATTTCTTGAGCAGCTTGAGCACGACCTTTGATGAGGCCATGCAGCGCCGAGTCGGCTCACCCGGCTACGCCCCGCCGGAAGTCGTCACAGACCTCCCCTACGAAGCTAATGCCACAATACTCTTGCACAAGCCTTGCATGTAATGAGCATGTCCTATACATGTAGCAGCGCATTGGGATCTTTCCGGCTATTTCCGGGTTCCGAGGATGAAAAGGTTGACGTGTTCGGCGCCGGGGCCGTTCTGTACTTTGCGCTCAGCAACACACTTCCCTTCCCAGGAAAAACCTTGAAGAAGGCCGGACAGGGTGAGGCTTAGAAAGCGGAGTGTTTGGAGTTTGTCGGCATGAATCTAGCTCATTCTCTCCGAATGGTCGCACACTGCCAGGTTTTAGAGCTCACGGCGCGCCCGCTGCCTCAGCTATGGGCCGTACTATGTCATGCTTATTCAATTTGTGCGTCATTTGGGTCCAGACCAGTCTTGTGCCACCAGATTTTCTGCTTCACATGTAGCTAACGCTGAGGTTGCAAAGTGAAGTATGATCCAGCTCTCTTCGGCGACTTTTCTGGCAGCGCTGTCCTCAAGTGATTGGGTCACTGTCTGACTAGTTGACATTTGAAAGCTTCTAGCTTGTGATAAGCTTGGCAGCCGAACACACGAAACAAGTTCCACCAGATGGAGGCTGATTGACGGCGACTACCAGCAGCAATGTTGTCGGCCTATGGCAAACCTTGACTTGAGGCATCATCCAGCTGCTGAAGGCTCTCTTGCAGAAGGATCCGACGAAGCGGCCCTCAGCGAAAAAGTCCTTCAAGGCGCTTTGGACCATGGCCAGCCAGAGCCCAGCCCTCAGCGTTGAAAGCCTTGAAGCCTTGATGGGAGCACAGTGTTCTGATACAGCGCATTCCAAGCCTTTGCTGGAAGATCTGAAACTAAAACATCGCCACTAAGAACCTGAAATCCAAAGAAGCAGCGTTGCCCGCATCACGTTGCAGGCGGGAAGGGGCTCTGGAAGCTTTTCAGCCAAAAGCTACACATGCCACAGCTCTGCAGCCGTCAGGCCGTAGATGATTTCGACAGCTTGGCTGCTACGAGACTGGAGTCAATGAAGAGCAATGGCCACAAGCCGGGGTGGACGGCTCAGATGTTGGCATTCATAGCAAGACCCCGATTTACAGGGGTAACCCCAAAGAAATTCTCGTGGGGGAGTGAATCGTAGTGATGCAAGGCAGGCTTGCGGGGCTGCGGATCCTGTTGAACAGCGCGTTGCAGTTGCAGTGTAGGCGGAGTAGAATGAGCTGACATGGCTGCATTTGTTCAGCCAAGGTTGGAAAAGAAGGTCATGAGCGGCTTGGAAGCGTTTTGATCCTAGTTTACGTCTGGAGCTCTCTGGAGCTGGAATTATAGGTCAGGCTGGCATCGTGAGACCTGCTATGCAGTGCGTACAGACATGAATGGTGCCGGAAGTCCTCGATGGCACTGTGGTGCTTCGGTAGAGCTGGTTCCACTCGCGTTCGCTGACGGCCCGCTCTCTCCGGACAGTTGCACAAGCGCTCCCAGCATATAGCCATCCTCAGCTGGATTCTAGCTGTTTTGGCTATGCAGTTGATTATCCCTTTGTTTAAAAAAAGATGTGGCTCAGCCAGTTCAAGACAATACGGGTTGAGCCCAGGAACCACCTCGAATCACGAGCCCAAAGCGAAGGTGCCTCGGCAAAGAGATCTGCAACAGTGAGTGCACTTGCAGGGCGGGCAAGAGTCGTGTACATGCTGAAGCACCTCCCAACCAAAAGGTGCGAACCACAACAGTAACGTTACCAACAGAGGGTTTGCTGGAGCGAGATGCCAATATCACTTAGCCACAAGGAGGGATGCTGTGATTGCAAACCATTATATTAGGGAGTCCTTGATAGGTCAAGGGCCCCTGGATTCACATCCTGTTGTGACCTGGCGGATCTGTATGTCTGACCATTCGCAGACAGCAAAGCAATTCTGCACTTGGTCTGCTACTCTTTACTCTAGGGCCCAGGGCATCCACTGGCACCTGACAATTTTTCGTGTGTTAACTTTCCTCGTGGCTTTAGACGCCCGCAGGATGTGGATGCATGGTTTGGCACATCCCTAGAAGACATGATAATGCCAGAAGCCCTCGACTGGGAGGGATCCCCTCTGAAATGTGCCTTGCATATCTTGGCATCGCGAAGTGGCGCTGTCTGGAAGCTTATTACCTTTGCGGAGGCTCTGGACCTGTAAAGAGTTTTGGACAGGATTGAGATAGGCGGGCAGTGTGATAAACCCAGGCCGAGGCCCCAACGCTGGAGGAAGCGTGCCTTGATGGAATCTAAAGCATTGCATGCAGAGAGGGGGGGGTGCGTAGATACATTATCGGCTTCTTCCCTCAAATTTAGCATGCTCACTGCCAATTTCTTTGGACTATGCTCAATGTCAGCACATCCGGACACCTGCACCAAAAAAGAAAAAAAAACATACAATACACGTATCAGTCAATCAGGTGGTTAGCGGTCAATATCTCCCAAAAAGTGTCCATCAACACCACGGTTGGATGCACAAGTCGCCATTCTTTTCAAAGGTGTTGTAGCCAGAATTGCGAAAAGCAACTGAGTCAATCTGAGGCCCAGGGAGCCTTCCAAGGCAAGGTGAGCTTTGGCGGATTTCCTCACGGCTCTGGGAAAACTGGGGCTCGACCCTACAAGTACTGAAGCGTGCCTCTGTGTCGCTACCAATTGACTTCGGTCACCAGACACTACCTTGTTGCCCCTTTGGCCTGTTGTTGCAGTTGCTGTTGTGGCTTCGAGCATGCTTGACAGGAGTCTGCTTCCGCCAAGCCGATTGCTACTCCAGCGGGACTTTAAGATGCTGTAAGATCTGCAAGCTTGCTGCGCGAGCCTTGAAAGCTGTCAGTCCAGCATGCCCCTGCGTCAGGAGTGTCTGAGTCTGAAAGGGCTCAAGAGTCTGCAGCTGGCACAGCGTCCCAGGATAAAAAAGAGTATCTTGGCAGCAGTCGTCCCTTGCTGCTCAGCTTGGCCACCGTGCAGCCAACCGAGGCTAGTGCCGGTTCCGCCGTCAGGGCCAAAGCCGACTTCGAGCGGAGGCACTTTCTCCTTCCTCAAGGCCTGGGCTGAGCAGAAAAGAACTTGCAGAGATACGGCACGCAGACTCCATGCTATTGTATGATCAAAGTTGAAGCTTGACAGAATCGCCTGCCCTGGAGCAAGTCGCGGCCTGGCCGGAATTCGTAGCTTTGGGCACGGTGTCTTGCGTTCATGAATGCGTGAGCGATGTCTTCTCAGGTCTGGAGGCGGGGGAGAAAACTCACAGGCACGTTGGAAAATCGGAAACGGAAAGAGCATGCATGCAATGAAACAGTCCACGGGTGATTCGAGCTACTGTCAGGGGCTGAAACAATGATGCTGGACGGCAAGAAGCAAGGCTGCAAAGAGCTTTCAGCTTTCGGCAAGTTCCCCTCAGATACGCTGATTTCCCCTGGGGTCCAAAAGGCTACGAGTAGAAACACATGCGTGATATCAGCTGCTAAGACCAAGCAACTGGCGGAACCAAGTGAGCTGCTTCCAGTAGCCAAAACATACAAAAGCTGTTAGTAGTGTTTGGTAGCTCCTGCGACCGCGAAGCGCAAAGCTTCCAGAAGTGTTGCAAACGCTGAACTGCTGGAGGAAGGCAGTTTTGCTGTGTACAGAATCGGTTAAGGCAATCTTCTAGCAGAGAGTGCCAGAGAGGGAAGGCGGCACCAAAAAGGCAGGCCATCCCTCAACATCTCTGCGGTGAGCAGAATATCTCCAAATGGAGATGGCAAAGCAGCCGGCGCATAAGCGCAAGGCTTGAAACCAGCTTTGGAGACGGCATGTTGTATGACCTCTTGCTACGTCAGCCCACCTCGTTGCAAGGCTAAGACATGGGCTTCTGGATCGCAGGGTGCAGCGGGGGGATGGGCAATGCACTTTGCAGCAGCTTTCTGCTTATCATATTGTTCGGAAAATGCTGCCATAAAAGCTGCCATGAAGGAGTTTCCAATCAGCAGCCCGTGCTCCAAACAACAGATCTCATTTCGCCCGGTCACGCCAGGAACCAGGGCTTTTTGAAATGCATTCGTGAGAATTTGCCAAGACCACTAAGTGGTGGCAGCTGACCTGTCCACACGCTGAAGAGGGGAGAGCAGCTCCTTTTCTGACCTGCCTCTGGCTTGAAGGGTTATGTAAGACTAGCCACTCTCATTAACAAACTTCCAGATGTAGGCGGCCAATGCCCGAACGTTTAGCAGTTCAGCAATCAACCAGGCTCGCTTTTGAGAAGTGCGCAAGGTTGAGAACAACTCTGCCTCACGACAGATCTGATCCCGTGGTGATAGCTGGACGAGAGCAGCATTATCAGCAAGCCAATCTGAATGGGAGGCAAAGTGATGCTTCGCACAGCCTGCAACTGTGCTCATGGTGCATCATTCACGCGCATGCTAAGCCTGTATCCGGCCGAGATGGTAATGGTACCTGCGAAGGATGTGCAGCATTTGCCAGATGCACAGGTCATGGTAGGTGAGACATGAGACCTTCTGCAGAGGACAACTGTGCAAAAAGCATGACAGGACTGCGCGCTGGTGTTGTGTTGATGTACCGCTAATGAAAGCAGTGAACATAGCTTGTGGTTTTGACCCAATCGTTTCAATTCTGCGGCCGCCAAGGTTTGACGAGGAGGATATTTGCCCTGACTTTGACTCTTGAATTTTGTGTGCCTTGCCAGTCGAGTGTACGGTTTGCACATTTTCGAAGGATGCGGCACAAATTTTTGCAGAGGCTGCAAGAAGCCTGGAGGTGGTGATGTCTGTCTTCTGAGGGCTTCCCACGCTTTGGTTGTCATGGGTCTAAGGTTTTGTTCAGCTGGGATGAACGACTTATTCATTGGATTGTAGACACCAGTGCAAAGTGTCTGCTACGAAGCGGAGGTGCTTCGTTTTGTGTCAGTGTGAGTTTGCGGAACGGTAGCAGCAATGCCGAGCGCAATGCTGGTTCAGTGCTGCCGGTCTATGCAGCCTGGCGATCTTTTCAGGCCCGGATGCAACGAGGTCTCCAAGAAACGAGCCAACCTTGACTGATTTGGTGGTCCTTTGCGCAGTCTAGGTCTCGGTCCACATCAAGCCCCATGGTCGAGACGAGTATGTGGCAGCATCCTCAGCCGTCATGGTGCAGGAAGCCTATACATGAACAGCACATCAAAGAGCCAGAGCCTAGCTGGCCAATAATTCGCAAACTACCAGCTTAGGGTTCCTTGGAGTTTTCTGCTTTGCCTCCGCGCCCCTCTAGAAACTCAGGCTCAGCTAACGGTGTGCCTAAGGTCCCGCACCTGGATCCACTTGTACTGCAAACAGTTTGGATGGATTTTTCTCGCATGGACGTGTGTGTTTCTGAAGCATCTGGCAGCAACTTTTTGGTCTGGATTGCCGTTGGAGGCCTGATAACCCGGCCCATCCCCGCAACTTGCTGCTGGAGCTTACTGACGAGAACGTCAGCGTCTCATTCCTGAGTGTCGGGATGTTTGACGAGTATTGACGAGTGCTCTCGGTGTACTAGTGACTAGTGCTGAGCAAAGATTGGCAGGATCTACTTTTCTACCACAGTTTCAGCCTCGGCCAGGGTTGCCTCTGGTTGCGTTAGATTTACGTGCATTCACGCGGGATCGCAGGCCTTGCGCTGGGGGAGGGTGACTACCACGCTTTAAGGCGCAAACTGGTGTGCTGTGGTAAGGGAGCCTAAATGCCAGGAGTGAGAGAGTCAGGCTATAAAGACAAGACAAGAAGTTTGTGAAGTTTGTTGATGCCAGAGGAGCCAGAGAATTCCAGAGCTATTGGCAGGTGATGGACGGAGTTGGTTTGTCTTTCGGACTTAGGCTTACCTGAAGGAGCTTGTTGTATACTTCTGCTAGAGTCCCTGCTTCAAATTCTGGGGCTTGACCCAGTCGCTTGGTAACTGCTTTAGTAGAAGCTTTTGTTTGCAACGAGGGCGGAGCAGCGCCTGTTGGTCGATTTCCAGTGCGTGCCTCCAGTTCAGCAACGCCAATCCAGCAGGAATGCATCATTTATGCTTCGTTTTCTGGGCTCGAACACGCTTTTCTCAGCTGCTGTAAGGTCTTTTCCGGAGCAGTTGGCCGTTTTCCTGCGAAGATGCTGTGCCAACGAGGCCTGTGTTGCATGCCG